TCATGCGTTTTTTTTAAAATTATTGTCATTATTTTTTTCTTTTAGAATTTCGTCCAACTGGACTTATTTATTTTATAGGTACGATATTATTTTGATGAGTCAACGACTTTTGTTACTTATTAATTTTTCCTCCCCAAAAAATAATGGTCAATTTTCCTTTAGACGAACTGGACGCTGCAGACGAAGAAAGAAAAATTACAAAGACCGAACATCAAACAAAGGAACGTTCTGAAAAATAGTTTTTCTCTCTGCCCTCTTTTCTTTTCTTTTTACTCTATTTTCACCTGGACGAGACAAAAAAAAATTACACTCCAGACTGAAGAGAGATGGACGATGAAAGAGAGAAAGAAAAAGGAAGTCTTGAGAGTTTTGCGGAATTAAACAAAACTCTGCCCTTCTTTATTCTCTGTTGCTCTCTCCTAAAAGAGAAAAATCGCTCTCTTCACCGTAGCACAAATGTATAGCCGCGCATTAACCTACTCCGGTTCAGTCATGGGAACAATTGCAGTGCCGTAATTGGCCGGCGTTATTTGCAACTGCAGAGGAGGAAAGAATAAGCGTGTCTTTAAAAGAGAACTCCTTTATGTTTCCGGCTTTGTAAACTTTATTAACGATTCCTCATTGAAACTTTAAGCTTCAATACTTTTGAGTTTGTAATTACTTTAATTATATTCTAAACATTTTTCTAAAACTATGCCATTTGAAGCCAATTTATTTACTTAAAATCGCCCAAAACTGACTGAAATTGTAATTTCGGAGCATAAGAAAATTTAAAACAAATTTTGCATTCAAAGATTTGAAAATGTTCAAAGTTAAGGCATCACTCAATTACTCAAAAACATGCCTAATTAACAACAATTTTAATATCTGAAATATTTTGTAAAAATCCTAAAATTTGAAGAAAAGTTTCATAAGTGGCTTTGGAATCTTCAATTTAAGATTTTCATTCTTTATATTTTTATTTTCATATCAAAAATTATGAAATCTACCATGATTAGCTTAATAACACAAACAGGCTTAAAAACTTTTGCTAATTTTTAAAACGGAAATTAATCAAGATTAAAATGAACAAGAATAAAAATTTGTTTTCATACTTTTTTCATCTTCCTGACTAAAATCGAAACATTGAGAATCAAGTAATCTGCATTTTTAATGTAAAATTGTGATCAGGACTGACCGTGAGAGTAAACAGTTTTCTCAGTGTATAGGTAAACATTGTATACACTAAGAAGCTTTTTTATTTGCCGGGGCGCTGCAAATTGTATTAAACTCACCGGTGCGAGGATGGGAAAGGAGGGCGAACGCAGTTTTGGTGGAAAAAGCCGCTCAGGGACCTCGGGGCAATCAAATTTGTCACATCTGATAATTCGCTCAACGCTGCAGGGAAAACAACGGTTATTTCCAAACAAGCGGATGAAAGGAGGACCCAAAGAAAGGGTTGTTACCGCGCAGGGGTCGCCGTGGAATAACAAGAAGCTGCTCTTCCGTTTTATCCGCGCTTAAATTGAAACAAACTAAGTAAGCTGCGGGGAGGTCGTTACTCCAGATTAAAGATTAAGCCTGGGTTTATTTATTTTAAGGTTTATTCCAGAGTTAAAATTACCGGGACGTTAAAAATTCTGAGAAAATATTTGAAAATTTACAATTGCAAATAATTTTTTTTTTATTTTGAACTATTTCAATTCCTTAAAAATGAAAAAAATAACAATTTTGAAAAAAAAATAGGCAGTATAAATGTGATTAAATTTTTTGTCTCCAAGAAATTGCAATTTATCTTCAGATGATATAAAAATTATTTTTGAATGTTTCTGAATTGAAAATTAGATGATCAATTTATTATTTATTTATAGATTTAAAATAAAAAAGACGTGATTTATTTACATTCGATGTTTTATTGTTAACTGAATTAAAACATGTGATTATGCAACGAGATTGGTCAAAAAAGCAAAATAATTCAATAACAAAATTTTATTTTGTATAAAAAACCAACTTTGCCACTTTTCTGGTGGTAAAGAAATTGTTCCTTGCAGATATACTAAATTAATTAGTCTGGGGCAACAAGGCGTGCTGGAAATTCAGCTTGTTCTGTCGAAAAACTAGAGCACGTTGGATTATAAAAGCTGATGGCGAAATGAAAAAGCGAGGCAGAGCGCGTTCAGCCAACTTTTAAATCATCAAAGGCTCAGCTGGCGGATTTCTCAAATTAATACCAGAGCTTTTATGTTTGGCGCCGCTTTTTTATTATTATTCCATAAATCGCGGCGCAAAAAAGTCGAGAGCAAACTTTGCCGATAAATTAATGCGCCTTGCTGCAATAATAATAATTTATCGCGCCGACACGAGAAATTGATTTTCCAAAAAAAAAGAAGAAGGAAAGTGGTGTGCTGCAATTATTCAACCGTTAACGAGCGCGCGAGAGAGATATTGTTGAATGTAATTAATGGCAAAACTTTTTGCGAATACCGGGATTATTTTTTCGCTGTGAACCGATAATGAAAATTTAATCTGCACTAATCCGCGCGCTGACATAAAGAGATTAAATTTTATTTCGAGCCTGACTGCAGAGTGGCCGCTCTCATTATATGCGTTAAATATTTAGCGCGATGTTTAAGCTTCTTAGTGCCGCCCCTCGCCTAGCTTTTTCACGGCCGGAAACAAACTGGCCGGCGGCAAACTTGGAGGGTTAAATCCGCTTTGCTTTGCTCCAAGGAAAACACGGTCCAGCGTCCATTTTAGTGAAAACTTTTCCATTTCTGAAAACTTTTCTCCTCTGGGAATACAAAAAATAAATATTTATATATAATAAAAAATTCAAAATAAACCAGATTTTCCTACAAAAGTAACTTCTGATGTTTGTTTTAAAAGAGTTTTATTTTTTAGCTCTCATGAATTGAAAATAAATTTACGTAATATTGATTAATTTGCATTTTTTTTTAGGTTCACAAGAATAATTCCGTAGGTTGTAAATCTTTTAACTTCGGTTTCCTAGATCTAAAACGTTTTAATCCAATTAATAATGTTCTTTTCGACGCAAATTCATGTGAAAAAAAATGGTGTCTTTTTTATCTGGGGAGTTTTGGCAAGATTCTTGTTAGTGCTGGTGCCGTTTTTACTAAAATTCCTTTCTTTTCAAATAAATTTTATTCATCAATTGAACGAAAACAATGTGATGACATAATTAGAACGAATAAACGACAATAATAATGATCAATAAAACGTTTTTGAAAGCAAAAATATCTAAAAAAATGTAAGCAGATTGGAGCTCAATTCTGTTCGCAAATAAATAAAAGCCTGTAACGAAAAATACAAATAATTATCAGTACTCATAAATTTCACTCATTTCAACTTCATCTTGCGGCAGTTGATTAATTTTAATCCGATCAAATCCTTTCAAGCGCAAAACCGCTAATCGCAGCGAGCTATGCAACCGGCCGCGCGAGCAGGTCCGGCAAAAAGCCTACCCTGCAATGTGTGTGGTTTTTTTTAACCGAGATTCTCCTCCACTGGCGCACATTAGAAAAACGAGCCAAGTGACACGCGAGAAGAAACTACTGCAGCGGATGGTTGCGTCGAGTGGCGCACATAAATTACTTAACTCCTCTCCGCACGCCCCTGCACCAAAACACACAGCGCCGCGTTTTCTGTGAGTGAATTTTCTTGTTTTGCTGCGCCGCTGTGCTCGCCACTAATGTCATAATAAACCGACTTTTTGCCGCCAAGCAAGCAGGCGAAGCGAGGCTGCTCTCGAGAGGAAACTGGATTAATGGCGCGTGTGTTGCTGCTGCTTTTCGGATTATGTTTATCTCTCTCTCTCTCTCTGGCTTGAGAGGAAAGAGCTGCATCCATAAAGAGATGTGTAGTTTTTTCGATTTGCTGAAATAGAGTCCTATTTCCTTTCATCTTCAATAGGCAGCTCAGACACCTGGCGAATCTGAGTTGTTTGATCCTAATTGTCAAATTCTCTGATATTTTTATTTAAAAATAAAGTGATGTATCGTTGTAAAAAAAAACCAATGTTTCGGAGAGAACCATCAAATTGTTGGACAAAAGCATTGATTTTGCTAATGTATGCAAGATCAAAAAGAGCCCATCCGCTGACATAGTTTGTAAATCTGATCGGTGAAATGCTTATTTTTACAGATGGCTTGAATACTTTTAAGTTAATTATTCTCCTTTATTACAAAATGAAATTAATCAAAAAAGTGTTAAAAGATAAAAAAAAATTAATTATGATAAATTGATCTTTGCATAAAAAGTAAAAATGATATTTTCACTTTTTAACAATAATTTTGACAAATTTTTAAAGGACAAATATTTAATCTCTCTCTAAAATATGTTATTCCTTACTCAAATTTTAAGAAGCAAAAAAAAAAAAACCAAGAGCGAGTCAGTTAGTTTAAGAAAGTCAAGCTCGTCCGAGTGAAGGAATAAAGTGCTGCGTGTCAACCAGCCCTCGTTTTCCTCCTTTTCTTCCTCTCTGAATGGAGGAGCAAGTTTTGGTTGTCGTCGTCGTGTGCGCAAACACGGGGCAGGTCCAGTTTGCAGTGTTCTGTAAACGGAATGCCCGGCATACCTACTCCTTTCGATCGAAGGAAGGAAGAAACCCTCGAAAACGGTCCCTCGAGAGCGGAATGGAGATTCGCAGCGAACGGAATTCCAAACATTCTCCATCGACCTTAACTACGAAAGCAGGTCTAGAGGGTTTAATACTTTTAATTAAAAAGATTGACGCTGGACTAATATGATTTTTGGATAAACATAATTCGAGAAAGGAGAATTTAACACGTATTTGGTTTTAATTACAAATCCGCCTCTAAATAACCACCAGTACAAAATTATTGGTTCATTTTCAATTAAAAAAATTATATGCCAAAATTCCGCGCGTTTTACAATATCATTGGAATTTCAAAATAATAATGGTCAAGTTACGTGAAATTATGGTAACATATAAAAAAAAATATATAATTATGTTCTTGTTTTTTTTTTAATTCCTTTAATGCATCAAACTGTTGAAAACTCTTTGTTTAAATACAATTTTTATTAAAATATGCATGTCAGAAAAATTAGCACGGTCGGTTTTCTCAAGCGCGTTGAACATTTGCAGGATCTGATTTTCCAGAAGCTGACGTGGTTTTTTCCTTCTTGCTTCCCTTTACCATCTTCATCTTTCCTTTATTTTTGGTAAAACCATTTGCTTCTCTTTCTTGCTTTGGGTTTTTTCCCCCAGCTTTTCGCATCTTTTTCTTCCTTTCAACTTTATCATTTTGCTCCTTTTTTATTTTTGTTTCTGCATCCTTTTTCACCTTCCCCTCTTTTTTCAGAATTGTTTCTTTACCTTCCTTGACAATTCCACCCTTTCCTGTATTTTTTCTGTTGACAATCTTTCCTTTTGCCTTTTCGTCTTTTCGCTCTACTTTCTCTACAGTTTTCGAACCTGATTCCTTCTTCTCCTCTTGTCCCTTCTTCCTGACTCTTTTCCCCACCTTTTTTACCAGTTTCTGGCCTTTCTTTTGCTTCTCCTTTCCAACAACTTCATTTTTCTTCTTTAATTCCTTCACCTTTTTAACATTTTTTGGAGCGTTGCTCGACAACCCTTCTTTCGGTATTACTTTTTTCCCCATCGTCACGTCCACCGTGACGTTTTGCTCTTTTTGAACAACTTTTCCACTTGTCTCCCCTCCCTTTGGTTTCCTCCGCTTTTTAGTTTTATTTACCCCGTCTTTTGCATGCTTATCTTTATTCTTCTTGTTCTCTTTCGTCCCCTTCTTTTGCTTCTCCTTTCCTAACTCGCCCTTTTCCTTCTTTACTTTCTTCACTTTTCCCTCCTGAAATTTCGTTGCATTATTTGACAACCCTTTCGAATCTTCCACTGTGTGGAATTTTTGCTGCTTTACCTTTTCAATTTTGTTTATTTTAACTTTCCTCTTTCCTCCCTTTTGCTTCTTCTTTTTAGTTTTATTTGCCACCTCTTTACTGTCTTTGCTTTTCTTATTCTCCTTCACAGGCCCATTAGTCTTCTTTTCTTTCTTCCCCTCCTTTACCTTTACAACCTTCCTCTGCTTTTTCTTACCCTGTTTTAAATTTGGTCCAGCCAAAACGTTGCCGTAGCAAGTGTTGAACAAGCTGTAACGTTTTTGGCAGTATTTGCTCGCCACTGTCAACACGAATGAAGTTAAAATTTGCATGAACTTTTGGGAATGTCTAATGTTTTACCTCTGCTTGGACAACTCTGTAGATGAAATTATTGCCTTTGTTAGAAAGAATTTCCAAGTATTAAGAAAAATTTGTAATTACGTTGATTAACTCGAGGAGGACGCATTGCACGGTGACGAACGCTTTTCCAGGGCACGACGATTTCGCCGTGATGAAGTTGGGCAGATTTAATTCTAATTTTGCGCAAGTTAATAAAAGATTGATGATTGTGAAAACTTATTTTTTTTTTTTACTTTCAACTCTTGGTATGCAGGTGGAAATCGCTGATGCGATTGTTGAACTCCACGTCGCGTCGGTTTGCGAGGCAGTCAGGAAATCGGTCAGCTTGACTATGTCAATAACATAGCTTGGAGACATCTAATTAAGGGAGCAAATTTTGATTTCACTCAAATTTTGTAAAAGATGAAATTTCATACCACTCCCTTTGCAATCAAATAACAATTGACAAAGCACTGAGGAAAATGGAAAACAATGAGTATTTCAAAGTCGCTCAGGAGCTAAAAAGGACGTACGGCATTCCTTCCAAAGGCCTTTTTGACCTTTTGGCTTTGAAACTGTATCGAGTTCGGCGGCGAGTTGTATATATGCTGCTGCTTGTTCAGCGTGAAGATGTTGAAAGAGTTCAACGCACCTTGCGTCACTTGGCAGGATTTCTCAAAAACGTTGAAGGGAACCAAAGCGGTCGCACGCTTGGCGCAGCACTTAGAGATCACCTGTAATTATTTATAACATTATATTTATTTGCATAATTATACGAAAGAAAATCATACCACGTAACGCCTAGTTGGGCATTTTCTAGCCTCGTTAGGAGTCAAAGTTACAGCTACTGCCGTTGTTTTACTTGGCGTAGTGGTAACTTTTGCGGTTGTAACCAATAATGTTTTTGTAGATTGAGTTAACGATGTAGTTGATAGAATATCAGTGGCCAATGTTGTAGAAGCTGGCGACTGGGTTTCTGTTGATGACGTTGTTGAGGTTGGCAATGATGAAACTGTCGAGGTAGAGGCTGGTGTTGTTAAATCAGGCATAGTCGATACTGGCGTCGTAGGAACTAGCGTAGTAGCAGCTGGTGTTGTTAAAACTGAAGTGGTAGGTACTGGTGCTGTGGTCGATACTGGCGTCGTAGGAACTAGTGCAGTAGAGGCAGGTGTTGTCGGAGCTGATGATGTTATAGCTGAAGTAGTCGAGATTGCAGTGGTTGGGGCCGGTGATGTTATGGCTGGAGTAGTCGATGCTAGCGTCACAGGAACTGTAATAGTAAGAGCTGATGTTGTCAGGGCTGATGCCGTTACAGAAGAAGTGGATGAGGCAGGTGTTGTTAAAACTGGAGTAGTCGATGCTAACGAAGCAGAAAATGGCGTAGCAGTTGTTAGTGTAGTTGCTACAGTTGGAGTGCTGGATGCTGTGGAAGGAGTACTAGACGCTGCAGTAGGAGTAGACTTAGCAGGTGTTGGTGTAGTAGCTTCAGTTGGAGTAGTGGTCATTGATGCTGCCATTGTGGTAGTTGTGCTAGTTTGTGCTGCCGAAGTGGAAGTTGATGCTGCCGAAGTGGAAGTTAGCACTTCCGTTGTGCTGGTTGTTGCTGCCGTTTTAGTCGTTGATGGTGCCGTTGTGGTAGTTGATGCCACCGAAGTTGTGGTAGATTGTGCTGCCGAAGTGGTAGTTGATGCTTCCGTCGTGCTAGTTGTTGCTGCCGTCGTGCTAGTTGTTGGTGCCGTTGTTGTAGTTGATGCTGCCGAAGTGGTAGTTGATGCTTCCGTCGTGCTAGTTGCTGGTGCTGTTGTTGTAGTTGATGCTGCCGAAGTGGTAGTTGATGCTTCCGTCGTGCTAGTTGTTGGTGCTGTTGTTGTAGTTGATGCTGCCGACGTGGTAGTTGATGCTTCCGTCGTGCTAGTTGTTGGTGCAGTTGTGGTAGTTGATGCTGCCGAAGTGGTAGTTGATGCTTCCGTCGTGCTAGTTGTTGGTGCTGTTGTTGTAGTTGATGCTGCCGAAGTGGTAGTGTATGCTTCCGTCGTGCTAGTTGTTGGTGCTGTTGTTGTAGTTGTTGGTGCTGTTGTTGTAGTTGTTGGTGCCGTTGTTGTAGTTGATGCTGCCGAAGTGGTAGTTGATGCTTCCGTCGAGCCAGTTGTTGGTGCTGTTGTTGTAGTTGATGCTGCCGAAGTGGTAGTTGATGCTTCCGTCGTGCTAGTTGTTGGTGCTGTTGTTGTAGTTGATGCTGCTGAAGTGGTAGTGTATGCTTCCGTCGTGCTAGTTGTTGGTGCTGTTGTTGTAGTTGATGCTGTTGTTGTAGTTGATGCTGCCGAAGTGGTAGTTGATGCTTCCGTCGTGCTAGTTGTTGGTGCTGTTGTTGTAGTTGATGCTGCCGACGTGGTAGTTGATGCTTCTGTCGTGCTAGTTGTTGGTGCTGTTGTTGTAGTTGATGCTGCCGAAGTGGTAGTTGATGCCGCCGAATTGGTAGTTGTTGCTGCCGTCGTGCTAGTTGTTGGTGCAGTTGTGGTAGTTGATGCTGCCGAAGTGGTAGTTGATGCTTCCGTCGTGCTAGTTGTTGCTGCCGTCGAGCTAGTTGTTGGTGCCGTTGTTGTAGTTGATGATGCCGAAGTGGTAGTTGATGCTTCCGTCGTGCTAGTTGTTGGTGCTGTTGTTGTAGTTGATGCTGCCGAAGTGGTAGTTGATGCTTCCGTCGTGCTAGTTGTTGGTGCCGTTGTTGTAGTTGATGCTGCCGACGTGGTAGTTGATGCTTCTGTCGTGCTAGTTGTTGGTGCTGTTGTTGTAGTTGATGCTGCCGAAGTGGTAGTTGATGCTTCCGTCGTGCTAGTTGTTGGTGCTGTTGTTGTAGTAGATGCTGCCGAAGTGGTAGTTGATGCTTCCGTCGTGCTAGTTGTTGGTGCTGTTGTTGTAGTTGATGCTGCCGAAGTGGTAGTTGATGCTGCCGTCGTGCTAGTTGTTGGTGCAGTTGTGGTAGTTGATGCTGCCGAAGTGGTAGTTGATGCTTCCGTCGTGCTAGTTGTTGGTGCTGTTGTTGTAGTTGATGCTGCCGTCGTGCTAGTTGTTGCTGCCGTCGTGGTAGTTGTTGGTGCCGTCGTGCTAGTTGTAGCTGCCGATGTGGTAGTTGATGCTGCCGTCGTGCTAGTTGTTGCTGCCGTCGTGGTAGTTGTTGGTGCCGTCGTGCTAGTTGTAGCTGCCGAAGTGGTAGTTGATGCTGCCGTCGTGCTAGTTGTTGGTGCAGTTGTGGTAGTTGATGCTGCCGAAGTGGTAGTTGATGCTTCCGTCGTGCTAGTTGTTGGTGCTGTTGTTGTAGTTGATGCCGCCGAAGTGGTTGTTGATGCTTCTGTTGTGCTAGTTGATTCTGCCGAAGTTGTAGTTGATGCTGCCGAAGTGGTAGTTGATGCTTCCGTCGTGCTAGCCGTTGGTGCTGTTAATGTAGTTGATGCTGCCGAAGTGGTAGTGGATGCTTCCGTCGTGCTAGTTGTTGGTGCTGTTGTTGTAGTTGATGCTGCCGAAGTGGTAGTTGATGCTTCCGTCGTGCTAGTTGTTGGTGCAGTTGTGGTAGTTGATGCTGCCGAAGTGGTAGTGGATGCTTCCGTCGTGCTAGTCGTTGGTGCTGTTGTTGTAGTTGATGCTGCCGAAGTGGTAGTTGATGCTTCCGTCGTGCTAGTCGTTGGTGCTGTCGTTGTAGTTGATGCTGTCGAAGTGGTAGTGGATGCTTCCGTCGTGCTAGTCGTTGGTGCTGTTGTTGTAGTTGATGCTGCCGAAGTGGTAGTGGAAGCTTCCGTCGTGCTAGTTGTTGGTGCTGTTGTTGTAGTTGATGCTGCCGAAGTGGTAGTTGATGCTTCCGTCGTGCTAGTTGTTGGTGCCGTTGTTGTAGTTGATGCTGCCGAAGTGGTAGTTGATGCTTCCGTCGTGCTAGTCGTTGGTGCTGTTGTTGTAGTTGATGCTGCCGAAGTGGTAGTTGATGCTTCCGTCGTGCTAGTTGTTGGTGCTGTTGTTGTAGTTGATGCTGCCGAAGTGGTAGTTGATGCTTCAGTCGTGCTAGTTGTTGGTGCTGTTGTTGTAGTTGATGCTGCCGAAGTGGTAGTGGATGCTTCCGTCGTGCTAGTTGTTGGTGCTGTTGTTGTAGTTGATGCTGCCGAAGTGCTAGTTGTTGCTGCCGTCGTGCTAGTTGTTGGTGCCGTCGTGCTAGTTGTTGGTGCCGATGTGGTAGTTGATGCTGCCGTCGTGCTAGTTGTGGCCGCCGAAGTTGTAGTTGATGCTGCCGTTGTGGTCGTTGGTACTGTCGTTGTAGTTAGCAGAGCTGTATAATTTTTTTAAATAGATATATTGAACATAATATGTATTCATAAGGGAAGGTGAGACATTTCCTTGGACCCATACAGTGGACGTTATGATGGAAGCTAGCTATGTGCCAATTCGATGCCTACTTTACAGGCTTTACCGAGGATCAAGGAATGAATAAGTTTCAAAACTGGTAATAATACTTATGTTCAGGTTGAGTTTGGTTGGAAACGCAAGAAAGAAAATGAATGTCCATTTTTACAACCTAATACATGGGCTGCGCTCACCTTTTGCACTACGCACGATTTTCAATCGCTTTGGTCGCTGAGCGCAACGCTCATTAGCGCTGATTTAGCGCTCAATCAATATTATGAATTCAGAATATGTTTGATTAAAAATTGCAACGGAAAACAGTGTTTAAATACAAAAAAACCTCAAAACTGATCCAAATTTAGGACATTGCATTTCAACTTTATCATTCCCAATTATTGCCGATGGGTTTTTTTTATAAAAGAAAAAAATTGTCTAATAAGTCGCACTTTTTCTAAGGGAAAAAATATTTTTGAGCGCCAGTGAGCGCTAGCGCAAAATTGTTGAGCGCACTCGTGTATGGATAGAGGATTAATATTTGATGCATGAATATCAACTGCGAAGAATAATTAATAATAGTAATAATAATATGCTTCATTTTGAATTTTTTTACTTGTCGAAACCGTCAAGGCACTTTTTAAGTTTTAGATCATTTTGAAACTGGTAATTCTTAAAATCACAAAAAAACTTAATATTCTTTGTCAGCTTTAGAAAAAAAAAATTATTTTGCTGATTCTATTATTAAAAATTAATTATTATTATTGATCTTTATTGACTTATGAAGCTTCGCCACGTTGTAGTGACTCACTGCAACGCGCCCCATTTGCAATATCGTTCAAAATAAATGGAAGAGAAGATTAAAAAAACAACAAAAATATTACAATTCATTGATGAGTTGAAAAAACTCTTCTCTGGTATAAAATTTGCGGGCATGAACAAAACGCCTCAAACTACTTTCAAAAGTCTTGTATCGAGGCTCCAAGCGAATCGAAACAGGCAATTTGTTATACAAGGAAGGCAAAAAATTCAAAGGGTTCTGCTTCGAAATTAACAGTGTCTGAGCAGGAACATATAAATCACTCTTTGCCCTTGTCTGATGATCATGAACTTCACTTGTTTTTTGAAAATAGTGCGAATATTTACGAACAAATTTACACGATTCCAAGATGTGAATTGAAAAAACAGGCAGAAAGTCGAATCTAGCGAAAAGCGGCCGCGCAGAACAATTAAAGCGGCTCCGTACTGCGCCAATAGCGCTCACCCGCAAGAGCTCTCACCACTTTTTTCTGCGCCAGGAAAACCTCGTCCAGCGCTTGATTCGACCCTCCCCAAATTACAATGCCATAACTCATAATTGACTGACAATAAGAAAAATATGCCATTTTCAAGTACTTTTCGTCAACAGAATGCATCAAATTGTTAATAACAAAAACTGCACTATTTAATTTCCCAACCACATAATCTGAATGCTCAGTCCACTTCAAATAATAATAATAATATTTTTTCATTCGGAAAAATTCAAACTTTGAATTTGTAGGATCATCAAATTCTTTGAAAATGAAAGCTGACAAAGAGATAAAAATTGCCACAAAAAGTTGACGCGGATTGTTGAACCCTTATATTATTTAATTTTGCATTTTTTTTTAATTTTGTATGTTTAAGCATTTATAAGTGCACATATTTCACACACTTTTTAAGAGTGGATCTTTTCTTTGGGCATTGGATCTGTTTCATTATTCCATTTGCTTACCAATTCTAATCCATAGTCTTTTTCAGTTTTGCTGTCATTCCATTTCTAATTCATCGTCAATTCCCATTTTGTTGGTCGTGCAATGGCGTTTGTTTGATTTTATTAAAAAAAATTTACAGTGCTTTTCAAATGATTTTGTTTTTTAAATTAAATAAATCAAAATTCATTTCCGAAGTTTTAGATTAATTATAAATAGAATTTTACCGATTGGTTTAATTAAAACATGATTTAAGTATTTTACAAACTAAGCAATATACAAATTGCGAGACTCTCCAAATATTTTTTCTCTTTCATAAACCCAGTATAGAAATAAACAATTACGAGAGAGTATTATCCTTTGTTGTTTTGCTTGTGATCACATTTAATTCTCTTTCCAATCAAATACAGGCAAAAAAAAAATTAATGAGGATTTAGTGCACCTTAATTTTATTATTTGAAGCAGCGTACGGAACTGTATTAAATTAACGATAATGAAGAACTAATCAAATGGAAATCGACGACAAAAAATAGAAATGGAATGATTTCGATATAGAAGCCAGTATTCAAAATAGAAAACCAAATGGATGGTGATATCAAAGGGAAAATGAAATAGAATAGAAAATGCTTACTGAACTAGAATAACTTATTAATGGAAAATAGATTTTTACATTTGCACCAGTTGTAATTAGATGTGTTGGGAGCACTTTTGCATACCTGGTATTTTTCCAATAATCCACGTCTCAAAGGATGCGATCCGTGTGAAAAGCGCAGATTTGGACAAACAAGGGTTGCCGTTGATACGTATCGTGATGCCGATTTGCACAGTCACGCCGCCGCTGACGTAAACCAGAGGATCTCCGATGTCGTTTGCCTGTTTTAATTGATATTTTTGTTCTCTTTTACCATTGCAACACGCAAAATAGATGGTGATTTTTTCACCAGTCCATTCGGCTAGCAATTATTTGTTTTGTGAAGAAAGTCAGCGAGACAATCAAATTTACTGACAATATAATGAATCAATATAAATTTAACTGCGTGTTAAAAAGGTTTCCATGTTATTAGAATGAATCGGAAGTTGATAATTATCATTTCCATCATTGGCTGCGGAAGCAAAATTTTTTACTTACTCCACAGGGCCCTGTCGCCGCGGCGGGGTCTTTCGCGCACAGGTTAGAGCTCGTGTAAAATCCAACGCCGAAGTCGGTTGTGCATTGCGCTCCGTCGTTGACAAGCATCGCCGCAAACTTCATCGTCGCCGACGTCTGCGCACCTGCCAAAGTCAGAAGTTTTTTATAATTTCGAGACCAAAGTGAACTCATCAAATCAATAAAGAAATATTTTTAATGGGACATATATAATTAGTTGAATTCCAGAGTCAATTGATGCCCAATAAGAAGTCATGGGAAAATTTGCGTTGATGCGTTCTGCAAAAGCTCATTGTTAGAGACGCAATGACCGCACTCTGCCCCAATACGCGCTCTTATTTGCTAGCCTGGCAAAGCTAGAAACAATTAAACATCCCATTCAGCTTTTGTTAAATTCTTTATGCTGGATAGAATCGATTAATATTTAACATTGAACTGATTTAAAAGCAAAAGTTTTCCTTATTTACAGAACAATCAGCTTTTATATAACAATCAAAACAAATTAACCTTTCTTTATCAACCTTCAGACTATTGATTTTCTGATAAATGTAAAATGCCATTTTCTGACAAATTAATTTCGGACTAATAACGGTGACTCCTTAAATTCGTACCGACCTCCGTTGCTGATTCTGCCGAATCCCATGATCGTGGCCAGCGTGCCTGCGAAGTTGTTGCCGGCGTCGATGGCGGACGCCAGGGTCACCACCTGAATGTTGGCTGCAATCAGTTTTGAGATTAGCAAAAGACACTAAAGAAGGAATTCGTGGTCTCTCACGTGTCAGGGTGACGGGGGGGATTTGGATGAGCGCCATGTTGTTTTGGGAGGTGGCCGCGACCCACAGCTCGTGGATGATGGTGCTGATGGCGTTGGCCACGACAGAGCCCGTCGAGTACGGTGTCGAGCCCAGCACGTTGCCCAGCACTACCTGGTGATTGGTCGCAGTGCGCCTAATCGAAATGAAAAAAATAATAATTAGGGCTTAGTTGTGAGAATTAATGAATTGCGATACCCGATGCATTCGGCCGCCGTCAGGACCCACTGGGTGGTGATCAACGAGCCCCCACACAACGTGCTAGTGTAAAGGACGGTGGCGAAAAACGGATACTGCGTCAGGGTAGTGTCCGTTCCTCCAATGACGCGGCCAGAAATCTCGTCAGACCGCTCCACCCCTGTCAATCAAGAAACTTACAATCTTTCTCCTCTCCTTTAAATTTGCGTACTTTTTTTGAAATGTGGTCTTTCGCGTCGCCACGCACCATCCTCGGCAACGCTTGATTCGTTATTTCCGTTGCGCCACCACAAAGGCAAATCGAAAGCTATCACCTGGAAAGAACTATTAATAAGCCAACAAATCATAAAAGCATCTAAAAATCGGCAGAAGAAGTAGACCCAACCAAGTTTTGCACTACGAAGAATGTAGTTGGCATTTTTTGAAAAGCTTTAATTAATTTTCCATATTTTCGAACACATTCCTTTTTTTATTCCTTAACATTTATTGACCGAGAAGAATAAATAATAATAATAATAACAGGGCAGCAAAATCTTAAGCAAAAAGTGGATCAAGCTAAGCTACACTTTTATTATGTAAAATTTTCGCATAAATCATTTGACCGCATTTGAAGCTAGTCTACGAAACTAAATAAGGTGTGTGACCCACCAAAATTGATCTTGATAACCTGACCACAGATTTGACACGGGGGCTGTTACTTTATTGGTTTTAAAATCAGCAGTGTCGAGACTGTCAAGTTCGCGACTTCTCTAGCAAAGTGACTATATTAGACGTAAAGCAACGCTTAGGACAGGCACGTCCAGCAGGTTGCCTAGCTCAGATTTGATGTGGCTCGGTCGCAAATCGATTGGGAAATAATTGTATGTATAGAGGATTTAGTTTACGTTGATCCTGACTAGGGTCGCTTCAGGTCGTCATATTTGAATGAAAAATTAATTGAAGAGGAATAAAATTTCGGAAAATTTAAGTTAAACAGTTAAACTCGGCCCTAGTTGAAATATTTTAGTTTCAATCAATGGGTTTGCTAGTAGAATTATAAAGGTGTTTTTTTTTTAAACAATTAAAAACATAAGTGTAGTGACAGAAATGCAAAAAATAAGTAAAGGAAGTCCAAATTTTTTATTTATTAGCCACAAAATAGCATAAATTTAAAATTCATGATATTTTATTAAAAGAAACTAATTTGCAGCCAATCGATTCAGCATTTATTCGTTAATCTATAACTAAGTTTTCATGAAAACGTTATTAGCCCTACAAAATTAATTGATAAAATGTCAAAGACACACCTCTTTTGGCTGATTTAAAAAACACAACTGGTCTGAATATTTCATTTATAATTTCTTAGCCGGCTAAAAAATTTACTAAGGAACTAAAATATAAAATAATGCCGAATCGATTTGCTATCTTAGAGAAAACCCTTCGAATTTTGTTCTAGAAAAATAAAAGTTTGCATTTATTCCATTTTGTCAGTGATAAAAAAATTGTATGCAAATTCAATCATGCAAGGAAGATAGATCGTGTCTTTGACTTCAATTTGAGTTTTTATTTCAAAAATATCACCCTTAAAATTTCTCCTAGCAAATATTTTTATGCCCCAGGTGTCCGAAAAAAATTAAAATATTTCAACAAAAGTGACATGTAAAGAAACTCTTCAACACCAATATCTCCGAATCGGCTGCTCTGATTTTGATTTTAACGATTCCATTCGTTTTTCAACCTCCGTAATTTTGTTGTTTTGGATAAAAAAAAATTATAAAAATATAAACAAATTATAAACCTCTATTGAATCGCAAAACGCGATAGTAACATGGGCTATGTCACAAATTATATTACGATATTTTCCGCTGCATTTAAAATAAATTGAATTTGCTCTCTAGTGTTGAAATTAACCATGTTATTTACATTACTTGTCATTGGTGGAGGCTCCCGAAAATTAATGCCAAATTAATATTAAAACTTGTTGATTTGGGAATGATTTAGACGCGTCTGGTTTTGACAAGAGGGAAGAGTGAAAAGTGATGAAAAGATTGATTATTTTACCTGGATCGGCGAGAGCAGCAGAAGGAGGAAGAGACCCTTCATCCTATCCAAGCGAGTGTGTCAAGAAATTTTATCAGTGGCTCTTTTATAACGAAAAAAATGTTCTCCCCTACCTGGAAAACTTGGTACAATAAATTCTGCCGTGTGTATAAGCAGATAATTGTTAAGGGAAAGTTTGCCTCGCTGTCCTGAAATTCTTATCATGCAAAATTTTATAACGAATAAAATAAAATAATAAGCGGAAATTCTTGCCCTTGTTTCAATTTTCTCTTTGATAAGTGAAATATGAGCAAAGCTTTCCCTGTATACAAAAATTCAAGTCTTTTACATATTTTTTTAAGGCTTACTTCTGTTAATACGTGTGCTAGCAAAAATATTTTGTATTTGAAATTTTCTAGCAAAGAATTATTGGAAAATGAAGTCTGGCCACACTCTCTGTAGAAACTGGTTTATATCAGATAACTCTGATCTTCAACTTTCTTCTTTCTTTACAGAAAAACTTCTTTAAATAATTAAATAGATCAAAATTTAATTTTTTAGCTCCACACGTGAATTAAGTTTTATCTGCGTTTTTTTTTCAGCAAACGAGATAAGATTTCAATATCCAATGCAAGAAAATTGGAAACGATTCGCGCATCTACTAAAAAATCTGAACGAAGCCAAATTTTGTGAAAACTTTGGTAGCTTTTTTGTTCTTCGCGTTGAATTTCAGCTTGCAGGGAAAACGGTATGAACTGCGCATGGAATATTGCCAGCGCTGCATTTTTTTATGCGATCGCAAAAGTTTTGCTTAAGATAGGTGGGACTGTAATTAACAGATACAAGGGGGTATCGCCCTCTGAGCGACGTGCATGAAATTTCCAGGTTGTTCTTTGCTGCATGACACGAGCAGGAAAAACATAATCAAAATTGTTGCATTGCAACCCACGCAAAAGATAAAAGACGCGCGATTAAATTGTAATTTGCGCCGCTCTCCCTAATTGCTCATTTCCAAAACTTGCGCTGGTTTAACACATGCAATTATTTCCAAAATGTCATGCGCCTCAAAAAATATTTATAAAAAAAAAACCATGAAACGAAATTTCACTCACGGTTAAAGATATTTCTTATCATCGTACCTTAATAATGATTTTTATACGAAAATTACGAAAAACCAGTTGAAACATCAATTTAAAAAGGAATTAATAATTAAATATAAATTTTAAAAAAGGTTTTGAGTTGACAATTTTAACAAGGATGCAGACATGAAGGTGTTAATTACACACACATTACCGTAATGATGTTTCAAGTCATTCTTGCGCAAAATTTAATTTTTCTAAATTTCCTGCATGTTCAAAATTAAATATTACACCCATTATCCTGTGATAAGCAGTGCTTGGGGAGAGGGGGCAGCGTCTGAGCCCCTGACCCCTTATTTTTTAATTAGATTTTTACTTTAATTTCCCGCAATAATTGATTTAAAAATGAAAATTAGATTTTTAAATAAATTATGCAATTTTTGTATCACTCTCGAAATTATATAACATTTGGCGCAGATTCCATTTTCCAGCTTATTTTATTGAAAGAAAAAAAAACGCTCTTTATTTCAGAAATAAATTACAGTTGGCATAGTTTTCCGATCGCGCGTCTGACGCAGCACGAAGTTTGCAGATAGGGGCACGTGGAATTGCTCCGTCGGCACAGCGCGCAGTGCTACTTTTTTGCGCGCCTATTAGTTGGCAGCGGCACGATCGGCGCACACAGAAGTTATGGCGCGACTGCTCTCTTGAGAGGGCACGCAGCATTTGAATGGCAAAAAGCGGCCGTTCCAGCAAACAAGCCACGTCGGACGCGTTTTTAACTCTCGCGCCGAAATTCGATCGAATCGCGTGCGAAGTGACGAGGCTTGTTAATTAATTGTCAGAACGTCAAGTGCGTGTTAAAGCCACGCACACTGAGATTAAGACGTGGAATTCGCCCGGGAGCGAAATTGAAAGCTGCGCAGCCAAGATTGAGCTAGATGAGCTAGGTTTGGTAGAAAGTCGATTAATTATTGAGGAAATCAGACGCATTAAATTTTAAGAATATGCTTGGGAATTAAATTTTAATCCTGAATTCTGGTAGGCCGATTCAGGACGATTCCAACGGTCGTAATTTGCACTTTAGAATAAAAATTAAAAAATATTCGGGATTAAATTAATCTTAAATTTTTTAAATTAATCCGATTAATTTTGAAATTAAAGCCTCCGCCAATTTTTTTCCAAAAACTCAATTTTGTAAAAACTTGATTACTCTCGCAAAGATCTACCAAATTCAGGAGAAATTAACTTTTTTTTAACTTTTACCATTTAAGAAGTTCATTCTTCTGAAATGTATCCAGTTTTCCGAGGAATGAAAATGGTTAATTAAGTTGAAATTGGCACGGCAAGCTGTGGTCTAAACTCTTTTATTTCGCTGTCTTGACTCTCACGTTTCTTGTTCTAAATTAATTAAGTGTGACGCAAGTTGTTCCGAGAGCTCCAGAGAGTCTCTCTTGCAACTTTGCGAGGTAAAAACGTTCGTGTTCGACTTATTGCGCTGGCAAAACTTGAGCGTGCAAAAAGCAGGCCAACACTTTGCGATATATTATTGGGACGAAGATTGTTGCTTGCTTACTTTTTGTGCGGCGCTGGAAATGTATCTGCAAAGAAAAACGAATCCAAAGTTTGGAGCGGAAATGTTTTAAAAAAATAATAGAGATAAATAAAATCAAACACAAAAAAAATATAAAAATTTAATGTAAAATATAATTAAATTTTAAACAAAAAAATCAGATTTAAAAGGAAAATGATGTAAAATGAAATTTTTTTCACCGTATCCTAGAATTATATCAAATTTATTAAATTTTTGGGGATATTATTAAAAAAACTTCTTTTGAAATTGATCACTTTCATTTTTTCTCATCTTTCTTGTTTTCGAAGGAAGTCTTTGCAATTCGTCGGAAATTGATACTTTTCTCGTCTCGCGAGCAACACGAAACATTATTTTCTCCCAACCCGTCGCAAAAGTTATTACATTCAAGAGCTTTCGCGAAGGTAATCAAGCCGAGGAAATCCGCCGGAGGTTGATATCGCTTTTTCGAGTGTCATTGTTGGAGTTTTGGCTCCAACTTTCTTCTTCTTATTCTTTTCATTCAATAACTCGGGCCGCAGGGAAGGGAGAAAATTAATAAAATCGGCGGGTGCAGCGAATAAAAAGCTCCCGGCAGCCCCCTTACCTTTGCTCTTGAAAAGTTTCGAGGACAAAAAGCTCCCTGCCGAAAATACACGCTCGAGCACAATGCAAAAGCACGTCGGTCGACCCAACCGAGAGCTGGGGAGAGCAGGGCGCTGCAATAAAGCGAAATTCACTCGCTGGAACTTTTAAAGCCGATGTTAAAACTTTGGCTTGAAATTGGAACTAACAAAATTATTGCGAGATATTCAAATTAAATAATGGAGTAACATTCTGATCCGGATCAAAATATGAATGTTTTTTTCCTAGTAGAAAATTTAGAGAAAAAAAAACCGAGAATAATTAGGAACACTGCAGTTTTAAAAATTTAATTAGTTTTCCTGATTGGAAATATTAAAACTAACACCTGTAATTTACTTTTGATTATGAAATCAAAATTTACAATAAGCTATTAAGTTTCATTCTTTTAACTTATAAATTTTTTTCTCAAAATCCACTCCAAATATTCAAATCCTGAAATTATATTTAAATTTTTAGTAAAGTAAAGTTAATTACCCTTTTACAATAATAACCATTTAATCCATCTAAATGGAGCATTTTGCGAAGGGAAAAAAATTAAAACCGGCGCTAATTCAGCTAATGGAGCGTCTCATTTGCAATATAATTACGCTTTCCCATCTGTATAATTACACCCTTGCGTGAATGCGTCTGAAAATGATTACGAAATTAGCGTCACGTCACAATTTGCCTAATTCCCACTCCACTTTTCTTTGCCTGTGGCCCAAAAAACAAATTGCGGCAGCTGTGGGTGGTGTGTGTGCGAGTTCATAAGTCTCAATTTAAAAGATACACGCGAGACACGGCGCCAGACGTTTATTTCCATTACCGAGTCTCATAATTCAAATTAGAGACGCTCTGCGTGCACAGCGCCTCTTCTTCTTCTTCTCCAACCGGAATTTCAATTCGAGAGAGGCTCTTCCGGGCAACTTTGTTAATTAAAAAAAGACGAGCATCAAAATGCGTGACGGTGGAAGAAAAAATATGCAAATGACGTGCCGCTTTTCGCATTAATTCGTCGTTGTGAAAGAGAATTTTTAATGCGCCACGAAATGTTTGATCAAAGTTTCGCGTACACGTGTTTGCACCGAAAGTTTTGAAGCCTTCGAGTTAAAATGAAAGTTTTTAGCAGCGCTTTTAGGACTAAAATTTAAATTTTGCATTTGATCCTCTCTGGATTGACGTGTAAATTTGAGATTTGCTAAAATCCACCTACAAATATCACAGGAGTTCATTATTTTAAATAAATAAATCGTTTTCCAAAAATTAAATAATAATAATAAATATTTTATAATAACGAAATAAAACTGCCTAAAAACTAATTCATTTATTTATGAAAACTAAATTAAATCAAAAATTGAGAGACGAATGAATTCAAATTTTACACTCCAGAAAAAATTGACGCTAAAATTTACTAGCAACAGAATTTTTGTTCCTCCTTGCTAAAATAATTAATTGAAAAAGGAGATAAATTGGATAAAAATACAAGGTTAAATTAAAAAAATATCCACTATTTTAAGTGTTTTAAGTTCTTCATCTTCATTTTTCTTCCATTAGATCCTTTGTATGTTTATTTTTGGATTTCCGGTTAGGTTGCTTTGTTTGAACATAACAAACAATTGAAAGCGACCCTTTATTAATCAAGAAAAGGAATATATAATGTCAAATACGACGACGCTGGAAATTTCACTCTTTAAGTTTGAATTTCGACTGAGAGGGAGTTTCGGAGCCGGAGGCGAAGCGGCGGCGTGTTTTGTTTTCGCTACATCGCTAATTAGCTGCGGGTGCTTCTC